ACTTGTGGTAAAAAAATAAATTCTTCTATTGATTCAACATGATTCTCAGCAAATAGTTTGGGGTGTCTACTTTCTAAAAAGGGGTTGTTTTTTTTTGGGGGGGGGGCGTTTTATGCCCAGAATTAGAAGTTTATGCCACACATCACTCACTCCTCTAACCACCTGAAGATCAAGCCTTTTCTGACACTTTTTGTTCACATGAAAAAAAATCTGTATTTTTTGCTAGGAAATTAATTTAAACCCCCAAACATTATATATTTTTTTTTTAAAGCAGACACCCTAGTGAATAAAATGGTGGGTACTACAATTTTTTATGGCACATAGTACTAGCGCAGCAATTTAAAAAAAAAAACAAACACTTTTTTTACTTTTAATGCATAAAAACACAATATTGGCCAATTATTTGGTAAGATATAAAAGATGATGGTATGCTGAGTAAATAGATACCAAACATGACATGCTTTAAAACTGCGCATGCCCCATGCAATGGCGACAAACTGCATACATTTTTAATATCCATAGGCAACGCTTCAAAAGCCTTTAAAAGCTACCATTTTACATTTACAGAGGAGGTCTAGTGTTAGAATTACTGCCCTTGATCTGACGTTCACGGCGATACCTCACATGTATGGTGCAATTCTTAGACTATAGACTATAGAGATGATTGGCACCACTCTGGTGTCCAATCAGCTCTATGGTCAGCTGGCAGAAACACCGGCTGCATTCTCAGGTTACCCCAATGGCACGGGACTGCCCAAGAAGGCCGTGGAAGGTAGCAGGGGAGGGGGGGCATCATATCCCGCTGCTTGTAAAAGCAAGCCTGCAGCTAATTGGCCACTAGGGTTGCTTTTACATGAAAGCCGATCGCCGGCTGACAAAAACAATACCAGGATGATGCCTGCAGCTGTCCAGTGATGTACCAGTACGTCACTGGTTCTTGTTGGGTGTATATGCTATGTTCTTTTTTTTTCGTATGCAGCCTGTGGTCTGAATGAAAAAAAGAGAAGAAATCTCTGCCAGAAAAAGTGTGTGGTATGCCCACCATTAGAATATACCGCCCTGCATCCACCCACTTCTAATGGTGGGCACACATTAGGTCACACTTTGCCACATGCGCCAGTTCCAAGATTATACAAATGTCTAAATAGTGACACGCTTGAATAAAAATTGTCCACGTATAAGTGGTACCCCATATGGAAAAAGGATGACGCCAAGTCCCAAACTATCTTGTCACTGCTCCTCATGTAGTCTGGGCATCCGGGGGGCTCCACGTGATTATCTTTTCTCTCATAAATCCGAAACTTATAAGTATAGCCTGTTGTCCTCTCACAGGTCTTCTACATCTTGACCCCATCTTGACCCCATATCTGGCACGCTTGCTGGGGAGAAATTGTTTGAATGCAAGGCGGCCAGAAAACTTAATCAGGGACTCATCAACGCAGATTTTTTGCTGGGGAGTATAGACATCTGCAAATTTTTGGTTAAGGTGATTTGCAAGGGACTGAATTTTGTGGAGCCAATCAAATTCAGGGTCACCCCAAGGATGACAGAGTGTATTGTCGTTGAAATGTATAAAACACATTATACTCTCATATCTATGCCTGGCCATGGCAGCAGAGAACACAGTCATAAGATGAATCGGGTCTGCGGACCAATACAACCGCAATTCATTTCTTTTAGTAATACCCATGTTGAGGGTTAGGCCCAAAAAAAATTTAAATTCGGAAACCGTAATGAGTTTCCATGCGACTGGTCTGGCAAGTTATGAATTTGGGTTGGTGGCGATAAATTGTTGTGCATATAAATTGCTTTGATCCACAATCAACGCATACAGATATTCCGTGAAAAACAGCTCCAAAAATCAAGGGGTGTAGTTAAATTTGCTATTTCCACCTGAATTCCGGGTTGGGCAGTGAATGGGGGAAGTACGGTGCTGCAGAATTTGTGGGCTGTCAATCGGGATTTGCAAGCACATCCAGAAGGATACTAGGGGCTCTATGGGCCTGTGTGCGAATTCTTGGTGGCTGCGGGACAATACTTGTGCTCGCCACCGCACCGGCTTGTACTGGACTCATGGGACTCGCCACGTCACCAAGTCATACTGCAGTGCTGGTATTATTATTATAGAGGATTTATATAGCGCCAACAGTTTGCTCAGCGCTTTACAGTATAACGGGAGACAATACAGCAACAATACAGTTCAAAAGGGTTAGGAGGGCGGTGATTCTAGGAGGTTTCAATCTAAGAGGTATGTGAAAGACCAAGATGTACTAGACCGCTGGTACTCGCCAGTTCACCAAAAGGTAGCGCGGCAATAGTACTGGCACTCTGCTGCATATGAGAGTCATCAAAATTTACTGGCAAGTGCTAACAGAGATCAGGCCTGATTCTGCGAACACTGCTGTTTTGTGTGCAATGTATCAAGTGACAGTGACCTACTGACACTGCACTTGCTGGGGGAGAAGGGGGGGGGGGGTAAGTGTAGGGGCTAAACGCAGGTGCTGGCAGGTGCCGGGGCTGATCCCGCTAACGCTGCATTTTTGGGGACGCTATACTAATGTGAATGCTGGTATAGTGCTGATCTGATCAAAGATATTGATCCGTTCAGACACTATACTAGCAATGGAGGTTTATTGTGCATGAGCGTCTTCTCTTCCTGGCAGTCAAAGGGTTAAATGTGATGACTGGTGTACTGAAGGGCAATCTGACGCTATCTGGGAGGGGCGTGAAAACCATGGGAGCGCAAATCATGTATATATATATATATATATATATATGTGTGTGTGTGTGTGATTTTTGTGTGATTTGCGCACCCATGCCTCCCTGTAGCAGTATTTCTGCTATAGGGCAGTCAGGAAGCGGTTACAGAAGCGGTTTGTGTTACGTCGCTGTGTTTCTTTGACAAATGCACGATCATGCAACACTGCACCCAAATTAAATTTACGTCCTTTTTTCACACGAATTGAGCTTTTTTTCGGTGGTATTTGATCGCCTGTGTGTTTTTAATTTTTTGCGCTATAAAAAAAAAAGATGACAAGTTTGAGAAAAAAAAAACAATATTTTGGACTTTTTGCTATAAAATATGTCCAGTAAAAAAATGTAAAAATCAAATTTTGTCATAAATTTTTGGCCAAAATGTATTCTGCTACATGTCCTTGCTAAAAAAAAATCCCAATGCGTGTAAATTAATTGGTTTACATGAAAGCTATAGCGTCTACAAATGACGGGAAAGGTACTGGGATTTTTTTTTTTCAACGACTGATCAGCGATTTATGAAGGTGATCAGCGACTTATGGCAGGACTGCGGTGGACATTTTGACACTGGGGGTAACTGACTTGGGGTCACTGACATCCCCAGTGACACCAATACAGTGATCAGTGAAAAAAAACCCACTGACACTGTACTAATGGCACTGGGGAGGAAGGGGTTAACATTTTTATTCAATCAAAGGGTTAACTGTGTGAGGGGGTGTGTACTTTACAGGCACACACTGATCCCGAGAGCTAAACTCCGCTCTCAGGATCAGTGTGTTAGGAACTGACAGGGAGCAGAGCTGCATTGTAAACAATGCAGCTGTGCTCTGTATCACTGTTTGCCGGCAATTGCCGGAACCCAGCGGGTAATGACCGGCCAGGACCCGGTGATTGACACCCGTGGCCTCACGCGTGCCCTCTACCTGTTTTGCAAAATCACGTTTTAAAACGTGATTTTGCGCAGTGGTGCCGCCCTGTAGCCGTTTTTCTACAGTGGCTGGTCGGCAAGTGGTTAAAACCGCTTCAGCTCCACCCCATAGCAGAAATACTGCTACAGGGTGTCAGCTGTGTGCAAAATCACGTATATATACGTGATTTTGCATTTCCGGGTAGGTGGTGCTGCCATTTGCAGCTGTCAATCACCGGGTCCCGGACGGTGATTACTCGGGGTGGTGGATGATTGCCGAAGGTCTCCGATGAGGGGGGAGAACTGTTAGTAAACAAAACAGTTCTCCACCCTGTAAGCTGCGGCACACTGCTTTGCATGGCTGTGCACAGCACAGCCATGCAGAGCAGTGTGCCTACAGTGAAGCACAAACACAGAACATTGTTAAAAACAGCACACAGTTAACCCTTTGATTTCATGAGATGTTAACCCCTTCCTACACAGTGCCATTAGTACAGTGTCAGTGCTTTTTATTAGCGCTGATAACTGTATTGGTGTCTCTCCCCCCAGTGTCAGAATGACTACCACAGTCCCGCTATAAGTCAATGATCGCCGCCATTACTAGTAGAAATGTAAAATAAAATCCCAGTATATATATCGCCATTTGTAAACAATATAACTTTCACGTAAACCAATTAATTTACACATATTGGGAATTTTTTGTAGCAAGGACACATAGAATACATTTTGGCCTAAATTTATGAGGAAATTTGATTTTTTTGAATTTTTATACTGGACATGTTTAATAGTCCAAAATATTGTTTTTTTTTTTTCAAAATTGTCACTTTTTTTTTATAGCGCAAAAAAATAAAAAACACACAGGTGAACAAATACCACAGAAAGAAAGCAAAAAATGGCCTGGTCAGGAAGATGGGTAAATCCTCTGGAGGGCAAGTGGTTAAAGATCTTAATGATACCTATATGGCCAGCATACAATCGTTGGTATATATTTTTTCCTTTTGACAGATGTTAAATTATTTTATAATACAATCGAGAGCTTGGTATATACAGTATTTTTTTCCTACATAGAATGCCAGCATATAAACCTTTCCAGTTCAGCTTCAGGGATACTTTAAAACCTCTCCTGCCAGCAGTTGTCACTTTCCCGTGTACCCAGCAGGATCCAGCTCGGCCACGCCCCCCCGGTAGATGCGCCCCCTTGACACCCTTTCATCCATGTGCTGCCAGACACGCCCACTGCCCTGACTCCTATAACCTCAGAGCCGGGCAGCCGTTCTGTCTCTGCGTCCTGCTCTGCTCTCCTGTTCGCTGCTTGACTCCCAGCTCCTAGTCCCCAGCCATGTCCTCAGATAGGATCTTCACCGACGGAGAGAGCTGCAAGGCTGAGTGGCACAATGCATCTGCGGGCTACAATGAGGCTGACACCCACCTGGAAATCCTGGGCAAACCGGTCATGGAAAGGTGGGAGACCCCCTACATGCACAGCCTGGCTGGGGTAGCTGCAAGTAAAGGTAAGTTGTCCTGGTTTATGTTCTCTAATTACTATACAGATGCAAATGGAAAGGATTTACAAAACAAGGGGTATCTTATTATGTGTTATAATTTGCAGTAATATCATTCTATGGATCTGTAGGTTGACATGTACTCTGCATGGCATGTCGATTGCCTACTCTGCCAGGGCTGTATAGTAGACACTAACGCTAAGTGCTACATTAGTTTGTTCCCTAAGCAGGACCAGCTACTTGTACCCCAAAAAATATAACATTTCACCCCTTTTAGCACACATCCTCTATCACCTCAAATTTTCTACCCTAGCATAAATCCCTCCAACCCCAATTCCTAGCACAAGTCCCCCTAAATCACCAAGGCGAGGGGCTCGCTTCTACTCCCGGCCCTCACATACCCCCTCCAATTTACCCTTTCAAGCACAAATTCAACCCCAGTCCCCAATCCCCCCTCTCCTACCTCCTAGCACATCCCCAATCTCCTAGCACAAATGACCCCTCCTCCAACCTCCCTCCTGGCACATTTCTATCCAATCTCCTAGCACAAATGCCCCTCCTCCAGCCTCCCTTTCTATCCTGGCACATTTCTATCCAATCCCCTCCTAGCACATTTCGCCAGCCAGAGGCGTCCCTAGGGTTGGTGTCGCCCGGTGCGGTAACACTTGGTGACACCCCCCTCCGACGATCCCCACAGAATGGATCGGATCTGCAGATTGAGCATAATGGATCGGACTCCGAGGTCTCTTGTAAACAGATACCAATGTAAGGGGCTCACTTCTACGCCCGGCCACGAAGGCCGAGGGGCTCGCTTCTACGCCCGGCCACCGAGGCCGAGGGGCTCTACTCCCGCTTCTACTCCCGGCCACCAAGGCCGAGGGGCTCGCTTCTACTCCCGGCCACCAAGGCCGAGGGGCTCGCTTCTACTCCCGGCCACCAAGGCCGAGGGGCTCGCTTCTACTCCCGGCCACCAAGGCCGAGGGGCTCGCTTCTACTCCCGGCCACCAAGGCCGAGGGGCTCGCTTCTACGCCCCAAGGCCGGGGGCTCACCAAGGCCGAGGGGCTCGCTTCTACGCCCGGCCACCAAGGCCGAGGGGCTCGCTTCTACGCCGGGCCACCAAGGCCGAGGGGCTCGCTTCTACGCCGGGCCACCAAGGCCGAGGGGCTCGCTTCTACGCCGGGCCACCAAGGCCGAGGGGCTCGCTTCTACGCCGGGCCACCAAGGCCGAGGGGCTCGCTTCTACTCCCGGCCACCAAGGCCGAGGGGCTCGCTTCTACGCCGGGCCACCAAGGCCGAGGGGCTCGCTTCTACGCCGGGTCCACCAAGGCCGAGGGGCTCGCTTCTACGCCGGGCCACCAAAAGCCAGGGCTTGCCTCCGTGCTGACTGTCAATGTGTCTTCTAAATGAACTATGAAGGCAAGGGGTCACCAAAATGTTTTCTGTTTGTTTCTGATCAATATTATTTGTTTCATTTAATGATCCTTCCTAAATGAATCTTGAGCAAGTGGGAAGTTAGATAAAACCCATTCTTTAGTCTTTTATATAAGACACTCTATAACCTAATGTAATGTGTGTAAGATACAGATAAACATTTTCATTGGGGGTTCCTTAAAACGTGAAGCTATTTTTAGGATTCTTCCATAATTAATAGGTTAAAAGATGGTATTCTTGAGAGAGAGTCCTCGATACAGGCTTGCTGTACAGCAATGTGTTGGATGTCTCAGAATAGCTGTTTTGTATGCGTTACATTTGGTGACAGCTGGATGCTGGAAGGAGGGGCATTAGGCCTGCATGCTCTTTTTTTAGTCCTTCCCTAGCTGGATAACTTTTTGTGTCTTGATTCCAAGTATGGAGCACATAACTGAGAATCCTGCATTGCTGTGGATTCTTCACGTCTGTGGAAGAGCAATGCTGACACTCTTACACCAAAAGAAACAAGTCACGTCTTTAAAAAATGCTATTGTACTAGGATGCCAGGAAAAAAATGCTGGCTGTGTCCAGGATGGGGAATATATTTGTCCTAGGTTTAGAGCCTGTTCACACCAGAAAGTGGTGCAGGAAACCTGCACATTCAAAATGCACTGCATTTGCAATCTGGAGCAGGTGTCAATGTTAAGTTAATGCACCCCAAATGCAGATTGCAAACACTGCGTTTGCCTGCACTAAATCACATGGTACAGTAGTATCATACAATCTGGTTGTTGTGTGTTTTTTAAAGTAGTGCATGCACTACTCTTGGTGCAGTCTGGCACAATTCTAGCCCATTCAAATGAATGGGCTGAAATCATATTGCACCTGGATCACGTGTGAATCGCACAAGAACGAGCTGTATGTTTCTGTGCAATTCATGGTGTGAACCGGCCCTCAGGCGGCATGCAGACTATTTTTTTTTCTGCTGTGTAATGTGCTTGCTGTGCTGGCTGAGAGGTTAGCAATTCCAGCTCAAGCAGGTCTGAGTATTATGGACTCTGTAAGACCCCTTTCACACAGGGCGGACTCTGGCTGTAATCCGCTTGCTCAGCAGGGGATCTGTCTCTTGATCCCCGCTGAGCAGGCAGATGACTGGTCTGCATTCGCTCTGCTTATGCCCACTTTGCACTCTGGCTGTTGGATGTAAACGGACTGCCTGTCTGTTTACACCTGACTGCCATCTGATCCAAATTGCTGGATGGAAGGAGAACAAATCCCCATCATCTATCTGTTTTTGGCAGATTGGATGTAGGCGTGTGTAAATGGACACATGTCCACCTCTCCATTGAGGAGAATGGAGGTTCCAGTAGGGTCCGTCTGAGAAACAGACAGGCGGAGCTGATTGGAATGTTTGTAAGAACCCCAGTCTGCTTGGGGTGGATGCTCTACCTTGGAACCCCATTTTCTATGCATGGCAGACTGGGGAGTAGAAAACCACCTGTGTGGTGGGTGTAGAGGCTAAGTTCACCTTTCTGAACGTCTGATTCACACAGGTGCAGTACGGATTGAAGCTCAGGTTTCACAGCCAATTGATACAGTAAGTGGGCAGGTTTAGAAACGGTTCCCCCAGTAGAAGTCAGTAGCCTGTAATCCGCACCTGAACCGGACTGCACTGCTCAGAAATTGTACAGGACTCTTTTTCAATCCACACTGCCAGTGTACCGGACTTGTGTGAACAAGCACCACAGGAAGCAATGTTATTTCACATATCATGCAGATTGGTTGCGGTTCAAACTGTATTAGGGTTAACGTGTAACATTTTCAGCACGCACCTCATTCCGCATGATGGCTGATAGTTCTCAATGAACTATGAGGGTGCTGGTGTGTGCTCTTGTAGTTCATTGTTGTTTCTGCCCTCAAGTAACTGCAAGCCTATACTGGAGGTATTGGCAGACAGCTATTCTGAGAGTCTACAGGAGCCTGGCATTGTACTTGCTACCTGCTGTTAACTAGTTTGCCCAAGCTGGCCTAAAAGAAAATTTCCTATATCTGAGGCTCCATCTCCTATCTTCCCCTGCCTTCTGTATGCTGATATAGCAGTGGTTCTCAACCTTTCTAATGCCGCGACCCCTTAATACAGTTTCCTCATGTTGTGGTGACCCCCAACCATAAAATTATTTTCGTTGCTACTTCATAACTGTAATTTTGCAGTGGGAGGAGTAGTGCCACGTCATTGGTGTCAGTGGGAGGAATAGTGTCCCATCACTGATGTCAATGGGAGGAATAGTGCCCCATCATTGGTATCAGTGGTAGGAATAGTGCCCCATCATTGGTGTCAGTGGTAGGAATAGTGCCCCATCATTGGTGTCAGTGGGAGGAATAGTACCCCATCATAGGTGTCAGTGGGGGGAGGAATAGTGCCCCATCATTGGTGTCAGTGGGGGGAATAGTGCCCCATCATTGGTGTCAGTGGGAGGATAGTGCCCCATCATTGGTGTCAGTGGGAGGAATAGTGCCCCATCATTGGTGTCAGTGGGAGGAATAGTGCCCCATCATTGGTGTCAGTGGGAGGAATAGTGCCCCATCATAGGTGTCAGTGGGAGGAATAGTGCTCCATCATTGGTGTCAGTGGGAGGAATAGTGCCCCATCATAGGTGTCAGTGGGGGGAATAGTGCCCCATCATTGGTGTCAGTGGGGGGAATAGTGCCCCATCATTGGTGTCAATGGGAGGAATAGTGCCCCATCACTGGTGTCAGTGGGAGGAAAAGTGTCCCATCACTGGTGTCAGTGGGAGGAATAGTGCCCCAACACTGGTGTCAGTGGGAGGAATAGTGCCCCAACACTGGTGTCAGTGGGAGGAATAGTGCCCCATCATTGGTGTCAGTGGGAGGAATAGTGCCCCATCATTGGTATCAGTGGGAGGAATAGTGCCCCCATCATTGGTCAGTGGGAGGAATAGTGCCCCATCGTTGGTGTCAGGGGGAGGAATAGTGTCCCCATCGTTGGTGTCAGTGGGAGGAATAGTGCCCCATCGTTGGTATCAGTGGGAGGAATAGTGCCCCATCGTTGGTGTCAGTGGGAGGAATAGTGCCCCATCGTTGGTGTCAGTGGGGGGAGGAATAGTGCCCCATCATTGGTGTCAGTGGGGGTAAAAGTGCCCCATCATTGGTGTCAGTGGGGGGAATAGTGCCCCATCATTGGTGTCAGTGGGGGAATAGTGCCCCATCATTGGTGTCAGTGGGAGGAATAGTGCCCCATCACTGGTGTCAGTGGGAGGAATAGTGTCCCATCAATGATGTCAGTGGGAGGAAAAGTGTCCCATCACTGGTATCAGTGGGAGGAATAGTGCCCCAACACTGGTGTCAGTGGGAGGAATAGTGCCCCATCATTGGTATCAGTGGGAGGAATAGTGCCCCATCATTGGTGTCAGTGGGAGGAATAGTGCCCCCATCATTGGTATCAGTGGGAGGAATAGTGCCCCCATCATTGGTGTCAGTGGGAGGAATAGTGCCCCATCATTGGTATCAGGGGGAGCAATAATGCCCCAACATTGGTGTCAGTGGGAGGAATAGTGCCCCATCGGTGGTATCAGTGGGAAGTATAGTGCCCCATCGTTGGTGTCAGTGGGAAGTATAGTGCCCATCGTTGGTATCAGTGGGAGGAATAGTGCCCCATCGTTGGTGTCAGTGGGAGGAATAGTGCCCCATCGTTGGTGTCAGTGGGAGGAATAGTGCCCCATCGTTGGTGTCAGTGGGAGGAATAGTGCCCCATCGTTGGTGTCAGTGGGGGGAGGAATAGTGCCCCATCGTTGGTGTCAGTGGGGGGAGGAATAGTGCCCCATCATTGGTGTCAGTGGGGGGGAATAGTGCCCCAACACTGGTGTCAGTGGGAGGAATAGTGCCCCATCACTGGTGTCAGTGGGAGGAATAGTGTCCCATCACTGATGTCAGTGGGAGGAAAAGTGTCCCATCACTGGTATCAGTGGGAGGAATAGTGCCCCATCATTGGTGTCAGTGGGAGGAATAGTGCCCCCCATCATTGGTGTCAGTGGGAGAAATAGTGCCCCATCGTTGGTGTCAGTGGGAGAAATAGTGCCCCATCGTTGGTATCAGTGGGAGGAATAGTGCCCCCATCATTGGTGTCAGGGGGAGCAATAGTGCCCCATCATTGGTATCAGTGGGAGGAATAGTGCCCCATCGTTGGTGTCAGTGGGAAGTATAGTGCCCCATCATTGGTGTCAGTGGGAAGTATAGTGCCCCATCATTGGTGTCAGTGGGAGGAATAGTGCCCCATCGTTGGTGTCAGTGGGAGGAATAGTGCCCCATCGTTGGTATCAGTGGGAGGAATAGTGCCCCATCGTTGGTATCAGTGGGAGGAATAGTGCCCCATCGTTGGTGTCAGTGGGAGGAATAGTGCCCCATCGTTGGTGTCAGTGGGAGGAATAGTGCCCCATCGTTGGTGTCAGTGGGAGGAATAGTGCCCCATCGTTGGTGTCAGTGGGGGGAGGAATAGTGCCCCATCGTTGGTGTCAGTGGGGGGAGGAATAGTGCCCCATCGTTGGTGTCAGTGGGGGGAATAGTGCCCCATCGTTGGTGTCAGTGGGGGGAATAGTGCCCCAACACTGGTGTCAGTGGGAGGAATAGTGCCCCATCACTGGTGTCAGTGGGAGGAATAGTGTCCCATCACTGATGTCAGTGGGAGGAAAAGTGTCCCATCACTGGTATCAGTGGGAGGAATAGTGCCCCCATCATTGGTATCAGCGGGAGGAATAGTGCCCCATCATTGGTGTCAGTGGGAGGGAATAGTGCCCCCATCATTGGTGTCAGTGGGAGGAATAGTGCCCCATCATTGGTATCAGGGGGAGCAATAGTGCCCCAACATTGGTGTCAGTGGGAGGAATAGTGCCCCATCGTCGTTGGTATCAGTGGGAAGTATAGTGCCCCATCGTTGGTGTCAGTGGGAGGAATAGTGCCCCATCGTTGGTGTCAGTGGGAGGAATAGTGCCCCATCGTTGGTGTCAGTGGGAGGAATACTGCCCCATCGTTGGTGTCAGTGGGAGGAATACTGCCCCATCGTTGGTGTCAGTGGGAGGAATACTGCCCATCGTTGGTGTCAGTGGGAGGAATACTGCCCCATCGTTGGTATCAGGGGGAGCAATAGTGCCCCAACATTGGTGTCAGTGGAGGAATAGTGCCCCATCGTTGGTGTCAAAGGGGGAGGAATAGTGCCCCATCGTTGGTGTCAGTGGGGGGAGGAATAGTGCCCCATCGTTGGTGTCAGTGGGGAGAGGAATAGTGCCCCATCATTGGTATTAGTGACACCAATGATTGGGCACTATTCCTCCCACTGACACCAATGATACTTACCTTGCTGACCCCTGCTCCAGCCTGGGCTCGCTCGCTCCCTCCCTCTCCCATGGTACAGACACTTACCGGTCAGATGTCTTCCTTCTCCGGCCGCTCTCCTCCTCTTCACTCGCTCGATCTTCGCGGTGCCGCTCGGCTCCTCCTTTCCAAGCTCCACCTCCTCGCCGGTGATTGGCCGCCTGTGTGCCTCTCCTGAGCTACAGTTCCGGCGGCCAATCACCGACGAGGATTGATCCCGGGGGTGTGTCCGGATGACAGGGACTGCATGTCATCCCGCCCACACCTGGAGACGGACAGAGGAGCGGTGTCTCGGTTCCTAAGGCCATCGGAAATATGTGTTTTTTCCAATGGTCTTAGGCGACCCCTGGGAAAGTGTCGTTCGACCCCCAGGTTGAGAAACCGCTGTGATATAGTGACAACTTTTCCTTATAGTTTATTATGTCATTGGTTTCTAAATGTCTACCATTTTTGCAACTTATTGTTTTGTTTTCTTTTCTTTTTTTTTTTATATACGGCACTTGTGTACGCAGTTTATTTTCTTGTCTTTCCATCAGTACATATTCTGTATTATTCATCGAAAATCTTGTATGTTTTATTCCTGTCGGTCGATGCATCTGTTTTTGACTGATTCTTTGCTGTTATCTATTCTATAATAAAATTCTTTGTAAAAGAAAATTTCCTACATCAACAAGTGCACTATATAAGCTTTATGTAGCCTCAGCTACATACAGTGCTTTCTTCCAGCTGTGGGACACCTAGAGCAAAACTGAGTCAGTCTAAGCTGCACTCAGGCACTCATAGGCAGCTTTGTATTCTCTGATAACAAAATAGATGACCTGATGTAGTAGTGTATTGCTTTTGCTTTTGGTTGTAAAATATTTGCTTTCTTTAACCTGTTTCATCAATTATAGGAGGCCGAGTGCTAGAGATCGGCTTTGGCATGGCAATAGCAGCCACTAAGGTAGAAGAATATAACATAGAGGAACATTGGATTATAGAATGCAATGATGGAGTATTCCAGCGGTTACAGGAATGGGCCAAACATCAAACACATAAGGTAAAATCATACAATGTGCTCTATATACAGTGGGTAAAATCAGTATTGAACACGTCACCATTTTTCTCAGTACAGGCATACCTCTGTTTACAAATTTAATTCGTTCTGCGGGACTTTTCATATAGCGAAAAATTTGTACACCGAAACGTCGTTTCCCATAGGAAGGAATGCATTGAAAACTAATTAATCCGTTCCGGAGGTCAGAAAAAAGTAAATGCTACTAAAATACTGCATGAGTTATTTTATCAAGTCATGTGGTATTTTAGTAGTGACAACCATGTGTTAATGTTTCAGCTGTTAGCGGGGTTCCCCACTGACAGCTGAATATAAAAGAATTTCCGGCAATTTAAAAAATTTAAAAAGCTTTGTGGGGTCCCCCCTCCCATCCATACCAAGCCCTTCTGTCTGGTATGGATTTTGAGGAGAACTCTCACGCCAAAATTTAAAAAAAATGGCATGGGCCCCCCCAAAGCACCTTGTCTCCATGTTGATGGGGACAAGGGCCTCTTCCCCACAACCCTGGCCGGTGGTTGTGGGGGTCTGTGGGCAGGGGGCTTATTGGAATCTGGAAGTCCCCTTTTAACAAGTTTTTGGTTTCAATTTGTTAGAGTATCTAAATCTTCTAGTACACCTAACACTTCCCTGCCCCAGACTAACAATGCTGCTGTTCAAAGGAGCCCCCTGTGCTCCTTCATCCAGATTGGGGCACTGTAATACAGGAGGATTGTTACTGACCAGATCACCAGGTAAACACAGCCTAAAAAGGAAACTGTATGTAGCTACCACATCTCATGATTGGTAAGCTGCAATATATTACATTTTTGATTTTTGAACCAACCCATTCATTTTAAAATAGGAAATGGAAATGAGAGGAAAACATTTGTTTGTGTGTATGTATAAACATTATAATTATTTTTTTTTAATGTTCTCCCACAACCACTGTTCTCAGGTGCATAATGGGCCTAGAGAGGTGGGGGTGGAGAAGTGGCAATACACTGATCTTCCCAGTCAATAGCTGTGCAGGGGGGCTGTAAACACAAATCTGATTATTGGAGGAGAGCAACTGGCCTTATTCACACAATTTGATGGTACAACAGGCATATATCAGGAATATGAAATGTTGGGTAACATTCTTTAAGTCCGTTCATGGTATTTATTTAAATAAAATATATATATATTTTTTCTTTTTCACATTAGTCCCTGCCCTCAAAGAGCGTACAATCTAAGGTACCTAACTCGCATTCATACATACACATACTAGGGCCAATTAACCTACCAGCATGTCTTTGGAGTGTGGGAGGAAACCCATGCAGGCACTGGGAGAACATGCAAACTCCATGCAGGTAGTATCATGTTTAGGATTCAAACCAATGACCCTAGTGCTGCCAGGAAGAAGTGCTAACCACTTAGCCACTGTGTATGTAAAATGTTTCTTCTTTCAGTGAAGTGCAGTATTGTACAATATTGTAATTTAATTGCTGTCTTAAAGTGGAAGAACAGCCTAACTATGGCTGTTAAAAAATGTTCCCCTCCACCATCCCAATTATAGCAGCAATAAAAACTTGACAGGTTCTGATACTTATCCACTCTAATGGTTAGAAAAACATTTAGGTTGAAATTGAGTTTTAAACTATAACTAGTATAAGCAAAGACAGAGTACACAAGAACGTTTGAGTCATAATTGTAGAATTTTTTTTTTCATTTGTGTCTAATGAATCATAATGAAGTTATAAAAGATCTACATGTGGATATAAAAGCAGATAAGACATCTAATGGCAGAGAAATGTTCATTTCAATTGAGTATCTTTTATATGTAGAGCCAGAGAGAAGAAAAATGGAGGTTGTTTCTGGTCGGTGGCGTGGCCACCCACAGACATTGGACAGAGAAGGTTCCTGTTTGACTGTAGCAGAATTGGGTAGATGTTATCTAGCTCTGGGTAGAGTTTCTCAGGTGGAACTCCAGCAAAAGGTAGTGGTGTGTTTGGGCTTTTTTTTTAATTTGTTAAACTTGCTTAGTCAATGCTTCACCAGACAGTGACAGGCCATGGGTTTAGGGCCCCCATACACATATCAGCCTGCTTTTGATCACTTCTTGTTGTGGGTATTTCTAGGCTACCCACAATATCCCCAACCCTGCTGTGATCTGAAAGCCTGATGTGACACTTGAGTGGTTTTTGTCTAGTGGTATCCTTGTGAGGTTCATGAAAATTTTTCTAAAACCAAGCCATGTACAGTTGTGTTCAAAATAATAGCAGTGTGTTGAAAAAAAAGTGAATACAGCTCAAAATCCTTCTAATAGTTTGTATTTCCATACACACAAATGCATTGGGAACACTAGACTGTTCAAAAAATAGCAGTGTTTGTATTCTTCTTTACAAACTAAAAAATGTTTGAAGATTTTGCTTTCCTTTGAATCACTTAATTATTAATTTAGTTGTAGAACCACTGTTTCTGAGAACTGCTGTACAACTGTGTTGCATGGAGTCAACCAACTTCTGGCACCTGTGAACAGGTATTCCAGCCCATGATGATTGGACTACATTCCACAGTTCTTCTCTATTTCTTGGTTTTGTCTCAGAAACTGCATTTTGATGTCACCCCACAAGTTTTCTATTGGATTAAGATCCGGGGATTGGGCTGGCCACTCCATAACGCCATTTCAAGGGCATCTCCTCTTCAGCATAAGGCAGCGTGACCTCTTCAAGTATTCTGATGTATTCAAACTGATCCATGATCCCTGGTATGCGATAAATAGGCCCAACACCGTAGCATGAGAAACATCCCCATATCATGATGCTTGCGCAACCATGCTTCACTGTCTTCACAGTGTACTGTGGCTTGAATTCAGTGTTTGGGGGTCGTCTGACAAACTGTCTCCGGCCACTAGACCCAAAAAGAACAATCTTACTTTCATCAGTCCACAAAATGTTGCGCCATTTCTCTTTAGGCCAGTCAATGTGCTCTTTGGCAAATTGTAACCTCTTCAGCACGTCTTTTTTTTCAACTGTGGGACTTTGCGGGGGCTTCTTGCAGATAGCTTGGCTTCACATAGGTGTCTTCTAATTGTAACACTACTCACAGGTAACTTTAGACCTTCTTTGATCTTCCTGGAGCTGATTGTTGGCTGAGTCCTTGCCATTTTGGCTATTCTTCTATCCATTCGAATGGTAGTTTTTCGCTTTCTTCCACGTCTTTCAGGTTTTGGTTGCCATTTCAAAGCATTTGCGATCATTTTAGCTGAGCAGCCTATCATTTTCTGCACTTCTTTATATGTTTTCCCCTCTCCAATCAACTTTTTTAATCAAGGTATGCTGTTCTTCTGAACAATGTCTGGAACGACCCATTTTCCTCAGAATTTCATAGAGAAATGCACTGTAACCAGCATGTACAACATTTGCTGCCTTCCTTCCTTAAATAAGGGCAATAATTGCCACCTGTTTTTCAAAGAATGAACGACCTCATTAATAGAACTCCACACTGCTATTATTTTGAACATACCCCTTTCAATTAGTGATTCAGTTACACAGAATCAACAGCATGCATGTCATGACTGTTGGATTTCTATTACTCTACTACACCTGCTAGTAAATTATTTGCCATGTAGAAATATCATTTCTACCAAAAACAGTGATTGATCAGGTTAGTGATGTCTGACTGCTATTATTTTGAACACAACTGTATATGCTGTTTCTTTTTGTAGGACCAGTCGTGATTACCCTTGGCAGGTACTGGTAAATATCTGCACATTTGTAGCTAGCCTAAGGTCTTATGTATACTGAACGTTTGGCCCCGATTATATTAAACCCATTTACACAGATGCAATGTCCACTGACATTTTGGGAAGTATTCGCCCAGGGATGACTGCTCGAAGCATAGACTCCTTGCATTCTGGGCATTTGTTCCTGGGCACATAATACCATAAAAAGTTATTAGCACTCCGTGCACCAACCAGCTTTCAATGGGCTGTTAGCAGCAGAACTTGGCAGTGCACCTCTGCCTTCTGTCTGCACCTCAATGCTAGAGCAGGGTCTCTGAACCAGGGTTCTTCCAGAGGTTGCCAGGGGTTCCTTGAGCAACAGGCAATTTCTGCCTCTCAGAGAAGTTCCCACTGACACCAATGATCTTTTTATTTATCTGTAAGGGGGTAATTCTTCCCAATGACCACAAGTGTAAGGAGCATTCTTCACACTGACAATCACACTAATGTATTATGATTTGTAGATTGTAATTTATAGCAGGGGTTCCCTGAAGTTATTTCAAGGGTTCCTCTGTGTTGAAAAGGTTGAGAGGGCTGAGCTGGAGTGTCATACATTGGTGTTTAACACCCAGAGTGCATGAGGCCTTAGTTTGCTATAAATACATTGATTTCCTCTCATTGAGAACTGTGGTCTGAACCAAGAGTAATTGATCTATCCCCTTCTTTTTTTTGTTTCTTTCCTTTTTTTTTTTCTTTCTTTCCTTCCTTCTGTTTTCTTTCTTTACTTCCTTCTTTTTTTCCTTTCTTTCCTTCCTTACTTCCTTTCCTTCCTTACTTCCTTTTCTTTCTTTCCTTTCCTTCCTTCTTTCCTTCCTTCCTTCTTTTCTTTCCTTCCTTTTTTTTTTTCCTTCCTTCCTTCCTTTTTTTTCTTTCTTTCCTTCCTTCCTTTTTTTTAAAAAAAACTATCTACACTAGGCTATGATACTAGAAGTATGTCCTAGGTTGTAAGCTCCGAGGAGCAGGGCCCTCCTATCCCTCTGTATTGAACTGTATTGTTGCTGTATTGTCTCCCATTATATTGTAAAGCGCTGAGCAAACTGTTGGCGCTATATAAATCCTGTATAATAATAGTAATGTCAGCTGTTAACTATTCTATTTAGTGACTGCTGAATACCTGAACAAATCTTGAAACTTAATGGATTAGCTCTTTCAAGAAGGCAATAGAAAAATTTACTTTTGGTGTGTGTGTTGGAGGAATGCTGACAGGGCCACCCACAGCTTGAATAACTGCTCAATCAGCCAAAATGTGAGCAGTATATGGCCAGCTTTAGGCACAGTGTGATTGATAAAAATGAATGCAGATAAGGGTAGCAAGCCAGCGTGCATATGGTAGGATCACATGTTTATGGAGTGAGGCTGTAGAAGGTCCCAGTGTAGAAATGTGTGTGAACTAGATTCATGGATGCAGGTATTCATAGGTAATGCTTACAGGAAAATGTTTATATCTAGAGTCAACAGATTACGACCAAAGGGCACTAGCAGTAGGTAAGAGTAGGAAATGCACTGTCAGCATAGAAAAAAAATCTTGCATGCAATGGGAAAGCAGAGCATTATACAAGATTTGAAGTTTATTTTAAACCAAAACTTTGCTTCTAAGTTTGGATAGAGGTGGAAGTTGCCGTGTCTCATTTTGAAAGCTTTTGATTCATTTCCTGCATTATAGGCAGAACAGAAAGTGAGAATCTCTCTAAAGTGAGGTAAATAACTTCCTTGATATGTCACAATAACCTGACAGGAGTTCTAACCCCTCACCATTTTATCCAAAATTTTATTTAAAAAAAATTTTAAATTTAGGTACATTTATAATGGATGCGACCTCAAAGTGGCAACATATAAAAGATAATATGTAAATTAAGCTTAAAGCGGATTTCCATCCAAAAGGGGAAGTTCCGCATTAAAGATTGGTCTCCCACTCCTCATTAAGGATTGGCACCTTTGCGGAGCTGGAACGGGTACCCAAATTTGATAGGTACCCGTTCCCACTTCTGCTGCGATCGCCTTGGCGATTGGAAGTGGAAGTTGTCCTCCTTCTCTACCTTCCCGTAGACTTGTGGGACACGTGACAGGCCATTCAGGAAGCGCAGCGCTACTCTCGCATGCGCAGTGGGCACCTGGCTGTGAAGCCGCAAGCTGTCACAGCCGGGTGCTCACACTGAAGATGCCGGCTTCCTGGAATACAGGACGATCAGTTGAAACAGGCTGCGGATCGTGGGACAAGTGAGTGGCAGTTTTTGTAGCTGCTGACTTTTATATTTTTACAGAGTGAGTGGAACTCCGCTTTAACCACTTGCGCTTAGGAAGGTTTTACCCCCTTCATGACCAGGCCATTTTTTTCGGCACTGCATTATTTTTAACTGGCATTTGTGCAGTCCTGCAGTGCTGTACCCAAATGAAATGTTGTTTTTTTTTTTTTTTTTTTTTTTGTTTGTTTGTTTTTATTATAGACACAGCAAACAACTGAATTTTTGAAGAAAACATTATTTTTTTTTACATTCCGCTATAAAACATCCAGTAAAAAAATAAAATTTCCTCAAAAATTTAGGCCAAAATATATTCTGCTACATGTCTTTGATGGGGAGGGAAAACAAAATCCCAATAAGTGTATATTTATTGGTTTGCATGAAAGTTATAGCATCTACAAACTAGTGTGTGTGTTGAAACATTTATTTAATGATTATACTGGTAATGGCGATCAGTGATTTATAGTGGGACTGTTGCAGCGGGCATTTTGACACTGGGTAGGAACTGACTAAATGACACTGACATCTCTTATCTATTGGTGATCAGTGCTAGTAATATACACTGTAATATACACTGCCACTGTACTAATGACACTGGCTGGGAAGGGGTTAACATTTAGGGTCAATCAAAGGGTTAACTGTGTGCCTACCAATGTTTTCTATGTGCTGTTTTACTAAGCAATGTGCCAGTTTTTATTTCCTGCTTTGCAGGGAGGAAAAAGGGCACATTGTTGCTGTCTTTAGAGAACCCTGTGTTTACCAACACAGGGCTCTGTTCTGTCATTCGCCCTAGCTAATCAGCAGGTTCCAGGCATAAATCATTGGCCAGGACCTGCTGTTCGGCATGTGCTGTAGTAAATGATGGCACAGCATGGGTGGCGCAAGCACACGTACCCTGCCCGGAAGAGCCGAATCGTGATCTGGCGCAGGGAGGCTGCTCTGCTCAGTATAGCTGCGGTAGGCAGCCTAGAAGTGGTGAAAGACAAACTCATATTCTGCTACACAACACAGCCTTGTCTGTTATGGCAGGAGCACTGATTTTTCTGTGCCGCAGTTCGGTACCCCTTACATAGTTAAACTGGTGACCTGACTTGTCTGTACTGCAGTTAAGTATTACAGCTTAGTCACCTCCCTGTTTGCAGTCTGTGATTGGATAATAAGGGAGCAGGTGCATACTGAAAAGTTTTCCCCCTGCTCTCTTCTGCTGTCTGTGTAATCCTTGTCAGCACATACACAAGCACCACACCCAATTGGCTCTACTGCTGACCTCCCTCTCCTAGTTCTGCTGTTCAGTAAACATACACAACTGATCTTATTGGTTTGATTTTATAGATCGTCCCACTGAAGGGGCTTTGGGAAGATGTAGTGCCAACATTACCAGATGGCCACTTTGATGGTAAGTTATTGTGAAACTATTCACCGGGCAACATTTGTTTCAACGTTGACACATTGTTGAAGATTTACTAAAACTGGAGCACTCAAAATCTGGTGCAGATCTGCATGGTGGCCAATCCAGCTTCTAACTTCCTTCTAACAGCTTGTTCAATTAAGCTTTGGCAAAAAAAAACTGGAAGCTGATTGGTTTCTATGCACCACTGCACCAGAATTTTCACTCTCCAGTTTTAGTAAATCCCCCCCCATTGACTTTAAGTTAATGTTGTTATTATTAACCACTTCAAGTCCGGACACTTTCACCTCCTTCCAGTCCAGGCCAATTTTCAGCTTTCAGTGCTATCACAATGATAATTGCGTGGTCATGCAATACTGTACCCATATGAATTTTTTAGCATTTTTTTTTTGAGACAGATACTTTAATTTAGGTGGTATTTATTCACCACTGGGATTTTATTTGTTTCCTATATAAATGAAAAAGTCCAAAAATTTAGAAAAAAGTGTTTTTTCTTAAAAAAATTGCAAATTAAATAAATAATATTTCTTCATAAACCTTGGCCAAAATGTATTCATCTATCTTTTTAGTAAAAACAAAAATAATCCAAATTAGTTTATAACCAAAAATTATAATTTTGTTAGATTATTAATTTTTTTTTTTTAAGATACTGTCACCCTAGCAGTACAGTGTCACCATAGTGACACTGTACTGCTTGTGGGGGGTGAAGATTTTTTTTTTTTTTTTTTTTACACTGATTGCTTTTACACCCATAAACGCTGTAAAAGCAATCATTTCTCCCTCTTCTCTCTGGCTGCATTCCTGCAGCCATTGAGAAATACTGTGCAAACTGTGATTGGTCACAGCTTGTCACATGGTACAAGTCTGTTGTGAATAGCCTTGTACCATGTGACCTCTGTGATCATTCACAGATTTCAAAGTAGTAAGCAATGATGTCAGGAAGTGACATCTTGTTTACTACTGTTCATTTGCTTCACTGATTGACCAGTCAGTGATCACATGAATCTGGACCTCACACAGAGGTCCCATACAGCGATCTGTGTTCCTCTGGACACAGCAGACAGCAATCGCGTTGCTGCGCGCTCCCAGGGAGCGTGCACAGGCAGTGGATGCGGGGGGACATTTAGAAATGTTCACCTGCATTGGCAGCGCTCCTGTCAGGCCGTTTAAATTGACACTAAGCAATATCCTTCTTCTACAAAATAATCCATACACACCCACTACGTAATGGCTCTATAATTTGTTTTTTCCATTAAATAATTTCTTGCTTTGTTTTCTGCCTCTGTGAGCTCCCTAATGTTTACTTTCCTCCTCACTTTTTTCTTTGTAGTAAGCAGTGCACACTAGTTGTGGTCATGCGCACTGCTCTATGCACACTACAAATACCATAGTCCCTAGTCTATCTCAGGAGTGAGCAAGAGAGGGTGACTACATTCCTACATAGAGTGGGACCATGGGGCATGAACGTAGCCACCCTCTAACATGACTTCCGGACACTGCTACAACAACAAAAAAATACTTGGAATAGGCTGAGAGCAATAGAAGGAAATGAGTTAGGAATGTTGTGGTTTTTGTTTTTGTTTTTTTCTTTAACCAGAATTTAGTGTCTTCACAAGATATTAAAATTGGCGTTTCTTTGTTCAGGAATTCTCTATGACACATACCCTCTCTCTGAAGAAACGTGGCATACACATCAGTTCAACTTTATTAAGGTAATTTTATATACATTTTAAAGGCAAACGATTACATAATGTATTGAAAGATGCTCACATTATAGAATCTTATTTTTTAATACATTACACAGAAGATGTATGAATGTAATGACTTGTATGCAAATCCTCTACCCAAACAGGTGAAGCTTGAATTGCTTTCACCTTTTAAGGAACATTACTTCACGCAAATGCAGATAGGATTTCACTGAATCTTATTATTATTATATAGGATTTATATAGCGCCAACAGTTTGTGCAGCACTTTACAATATAAGGGAGACAGTACAATTACAATACATTTCAGTACAGAAGGAATAGGAGGGAGGTTACAATCTAAAGGAAGGGGGAGGTGATACAAAAGGTGATAGCTGCAGGGGATGATCTATGGAGTGTTTTGTGAGTGTTTGTTGGAAAACAAAACTGGCATCTCAAAAAAAGCTGGAATTCCTTCTTCTATTTCCTTCTAGCCAGCTTTTGTTTAGGTTTGTACAGATGGTGCCTTGTACAGTTTGCTGATTTTATGTTTACAAAAGTAAACTCAACTCAGGGCTAATGTACCACTCTTGCAGAATATTTACTTGTGGGTACATACCCTTAGCCCCCATTTGCACTTGAGCATTTTTTCTGCTGGTTTCCCTATGATTACACTCAACATATAAAATTCCATTTTTTCAGATTTTCCTGCTCACTCTGGTATGCTCAGTTGTTGCTTTTAATGTGTGCCGCAAAAAAAAATTTTGTGACTGTAAAGGCGCAAGGTTTTTTACCTACATGCACTCTATGCATGAAGGTTAAAAAACCTTCTCTGTGCAGCATCCATAACCACCCTCCTCCCCCAACTCCCCTAATACTCACCTAAGCCCCCTCTTGACCCAGTGAATGTGCAGTGGAGCTATCTCTGGTATCCCAGGACTCCCTCTTCTCATTGGCTGAGACAGCAGTAGGAGCCATTGAGAGGGGGCGGGGCCAAGCCATGCCTCTGTGTGTGAATGGACACACGGAGCAGTGGGTGCCCCATAGCAAGCTGCTTGCTGTGGGGGCACCTGAAAGGAGGGAAGGGCCAGGAGAGCCTGCAGGGGACCAGAGAAGAGGAGGATCCGGGCCACACATAACAGGTAAGTATAGACATGTTTGTTATTTTTAGAAAAATAAAATTTAGTATAGTTTTAAACTGTCTTTTATAAAAAGAAAAAAAATGCTTGTAAAATGCCAGCATTAAAAAATGGCAATAGCCAGGAATTGGCTTTGCTCAGGTGGGAATGCAGGTTATGGGTCCATCTAAACTTTATTAACACGTGTTACTTTAAGGAAACCTTTTGAAATGAAAGGGCTCCCAATTGCACCCTAATGTGCAAAGGACCTGACTTATTATTTCACTGGAACACACTGCTATGCATTACGGTGCCATTCAAAAGAATAACACTACAATGCAGGTAACGTGTTGCCCCACACTACAGAAAAGATGTACATGGGTCCTAAAGCTGGCCATACATGTGTAGATTTTTGGACGAGAATATTCGTAAGAAAGTTCTTTGCACATTTGATGAATGCACAAATGTCATTTGAAAATTGTCTTTTGCTTTTAACATTCATTTTTAAAATTAATGTAATTTCTGAATGATACCCACATGCACTGGCCGAAAATTAGTTTTACGAGAGGTTTTCCTTCCTGCCCCTTTGAATTTTCATGTCACTGCTGTTGAAAACGAACATCAATTTGACCACATTAACTAGCTGCCGACCGCAGATAGCCGAATGACGGCTGCACTGCGGCCGGCCAGTTCTGAGTGGACGTCATATGACGTCCTCCCAGAACGCGCTCTGCTGCGCGCCCCAGGCGATCTCCGTGATCGCTGTGTCCTACGGACACAGCTGATCACGTGATGTGGTAAAAGGCCAATCACAGCGGCCTTTTACCACGTGATCAGCGGTGTCCAATGACACGCTGATCAGAGGGAAATGCAAGTGCCGGTTCTCGGCTGCACTTTCCTCACGCTGTCAGATCGTGAGGAAAGTACTGCCGAGAAACAACAGTTGTCAGAGCGGGGATCAGCACCGATCATCAGGGCACTGATGATCAGTGCCCTGATGATCGGTGCCCAGCAGATGTGCCACACGCAAGTTCCGCCCAGCAGTGCGCCCACTAGCTCCGCCCACCTGTGCCCAGCAGTGCACCCACCTGTGCCACTCTGCAGTGTCACACACCTGTGCCCAGAAGTGCCACCTACCTGTGCCCAGCAGTGCCACCCACCTGTGCCCACCCACCAGTGCTGCCCACCTGTGCCACCCACCAGTGCAGCCAGCAGCGCTGCCAGTCACTGCCACCAGTCCGTGCCCAGGGGTTGTGCCAGTCAGTGCCGCCAGTCAGTGCCCAGCAGTGATGATGGCAGTCAGTGCCGTCTATCAGTACCCATCATCAGTGCCGCCTATCAGTGCTGCATATTAGTGCCGCCTATCCGTGACACCTCATTAGTGCTGTCTATCAGTGCCACCTCATTAGTGCTGCCATCAGTGCCCTTTAGTGCTGCCTATCAGTGCCCATCAGTGCCGCCTATCAGTGCCCATCAGCTGCCTCATCAACGCACATCAGTGAAGGAGAAAAAATACCTGTTTGAAAATTTTATAATAGAATCAAAGAAACTTTTTTTTTTTTTCAAATTTTTTGCACTTTTTTTTATTTATAGCGCAAAAAGTAAAGCGCCCAGTGGCGATTAAATACCACCAAAAGAAAGCTCTATTTGTGAGGGAAAAAATGATCAAAATTTCATATGGGTACAATGTTGCATGACCGCGCAATTGTCAATCAAAGTGCGGCAGCGCTGAAAGCTGAAAATTGGCCTGGTAAATAAGGGGTATAAGTGCCTGGTAGGCAAGTGGTTAACTATTAGAAAATCAAACTAATATTCTTGAAACAAAGATTCTCGGAACGAAAATCCTATACACGTATGGCCAGCTTAAGACAGGACCAAAGTTTTGTTTTTCAACACGTAATGGATTTAAACTTGATCAGTAACAGGTTCTGAAAAGCTCACAAAAAACCACGGGACATAATTTAACTCAATGAGAGAACACGGCTAACCCACACCAAAAACCTATGGGTAAGCCGCGCTGCTCCTGCAGTTGTGTCTGACCGCACTGTGAAAGTGCTCGAAGGTTTAAAAATAGTTCATGTTGAGTGTGAGAATTTACTTCTTCTGCAAGGTACAATTGTTCTCATTCTATTGTCTGTAAATTTTCATTCAGGTGAACAACTCAGGTGAACAGATCAAAATATGTTATTTCTGTCCTAGATGCTGATCTGATTTACCGTGATGCTGGTTTTAGAGCTTAGTTCTAGTCATTGCTATGCTGCATGTTTACTTGCTTAGCCAATTTATGTATTTCTGCAGGGTCATGCACATCGCCTTCTCAAGCCAGGGGGTGTCCTCACTTATTGTAACCTGACGTCTTGGGGAGAGTTTCTGAAGACCAAATACACAGATATCGAAAAAATGTTTCCGGGTAAAGCAACAGTATTCTACTACTCAAATGCCGACACACATTGTTGTAAAATGCATGTCATAAAAGGCAATGTTAGAGAGAGGTCACATTTTTGTGCTGTGCTGCAGTACTTCTTTGAAAATGGCTCAGGTTTGTTCTTGCGTCTTCTTTCAAGTCCATGATGATGCATGTATGAGTTTAGCATGCCTAAAATGTTTAAAGACCATTGAAATATGGCTATAAGCCTACTTTTTTTTTTTTTTTCTCTCCTTTTCTTTTATTGGAAAATATGAACAATGCAAAATGCACTGAAATGTGTTAGCAATGCATGAACAGAAATGCAAACGTGTAACCCTAACCTAGTGCTATTGCTCAAACTAAAGTTACAAACTTATGCACATTGTCACTGTGGGGGTTTATTTACTAAAGCTGGAGAGTGGTTCACTTCTGCATAGAAACCAATCTGCTTCTAACCTTCGCTTGTTCAATTAAAATTTGTCAATAAAACCTGGAAGCTGATTGGTTTCTATGCAGAAGGGAGCCTGATTTTGCACTCTCCAGCTTTAGTAAATGAACCCCACTGTGTGTCTATAGATTCCCAATCTGTTTTTTTTTTCTAAATCATTCTTCACATAAAATGTTTGTTCCTTTTTTGCCTCTCATCATAACTCTGGTTGTACTACCTCATTCAGCTCTTTGAAACGATTACAGACTTTCATCTCTGTCCTCTTACGGTTATAGGAAACACAAACACCTAAGCTTATGGAGGCTGGATTCAAGACTGAAAATATCAGCACCACAGTAATGGACCTAATACCCCCTGAAGAATGTAGATACTACTCCTTCCCCAAGATGATCACACCCACCATTATAAAGGCCTGAGAAGACAAAGGATTCTCCCCATCTTTACACTCTCTCCCCCACATTGCCAGCCGGCTGCCTCACTGACAAACTGGGATTCAGCATTTTATAATGGAAGTGTCCCCTTTGATTTCACCATAGGTGACCGTCCAATAGTTATCAGCGAGTTGACAGCCCCTGGTTTTATTCCCAGTATTAAAAGACCTAAATTACACTACAGTGCAGTTTACTGTTTGCAATAGACTTTTTTTGCACTCTAGGTATATTGTCATTATAATGTGAATTTATGTGGCGTGAATGCACAATAAAGTTATTTGATTTACATTTGATTGTGCTTTTTGTTACGCAACTGTATATTAATGCTAAAAAGCATCTTTAACCACCTCCCGCCCGCCATATAGTAATATGACGGGCGCAAGGTGGTTCTCTCGTTCTGGGAGGACGTCATATGACGTCCTCCCATTCTCACTGTGCATGCGCAGCTCAGGGAGCGTGCAGCGCGGCGATCAGCGGTGCGCTGTGTCCCTTGGACACAGCAGATCACCGAAAGAGCTGAAGATGTCGGCTCGGTCATGTGATCAGCTGTGTACAATCACAGCTGATCACATGTAAACAGGGAAATGCCGGTTATCGGCATTTCTCTCCTCTCGAGCTGTCACGCTGACAGCTCGAGAGGAGAGGAGAGCCGGTAATTGGCTTTCTGCGGAGGGGGACATGTACACTGATCATCAGGGCACTGATGATCAGTGTGCCCTGATGATCAGTGTAGCCCCAGCAGTGCCACGTGTCAGAGTCCATCAGTGCCTTATGTCAGTGCTCATCAGTGCCTACCAGTGCACATCAATGCCACATATCAGTGCCCATCTGAGCTGCCTTTTAGTGCCATGTATCAGTGCCGCCTGTCAGTGCCATGTATCAGTGCTGCCTTTCAGTGCCCATCAGTGATGCCTGCCAATGCCCATCAGTGCCCTCATCATCAGTACCACCTGTCAGTGCCCATCACTGCAGCCTCATTAGCGCACATCAGTGAAGGAAAAAAAAATCACTTATTTACAAAATTTTATAACAAAAACTAAAACTTTATTTTTTCAAAATTTTCAGTGGTTTTTGGTTTGTTTAAGAAAAAATAAAAAACCCAGAGGTGATTAGATATCACCAAAATAAAGCTCTATCTGTCACAAAAAAATAATAAAAATTTCATATGGGTACAGTATTGTTTGACCACGCAATTGTCATTCAAAGTGTGACAGCGCTGAAAGCTGAAAATTGGCCTGGGCAGGAAGGGGGTATAAGTGCCCTGTAGGCTAGCGGTTAAAAGAGAGGACCAAAACATACCATTTGTATAATTAAAACATGATGCTGCACTACTCAAAACACCTTATCAAAATCAGGCTTAATATAGAAATAAACACCCCACAGAGCACTAAATGCAATCAGAAGTGAAAATAACACAAATAGTGACATAAATGCAACAATAAATAATAAACCAATAAATATTTGATATAATAATAAATTCAGTGTTTAGTTAAACTGCAAAATAACTAATAGTGACCAATAATATTATGTGAAGTGATATATAAAGTGCAATGTCCCAATAAGTGCAGAAATCTTCAGTAAACTGTGAATTAACCATTGACCACTGATAAAACTCCTCCACCAGCTAGCGTGCTCACCTCCAGCCATGACCCATAAAGGGTCAAACATGCTTTAAATGAATATGCTCAGCAATGATATACTTAGATGTCCCCTCTGTGATGTGTCAAGGAAATCCTCTTATATGGATCAAACAACAGATATGGCTACAGTCATGTATGCTCCAAATAAACGCACCCAACAGTAATACCTTGGATGTCCCCTCCATGTTGCACCAAAAAAATCCTCCCACATGGGCTATAGTGTAATATCTAAGCACTCTGGAGAACATAACAGTCTGGGTCCAATGGTGGCTGCCGGCCGAAACCAGAAAAGACATCACAATGCTTCCGTCCTTCGTGTGGCGTCACGAATCCCGTGACTTCCTCAGGGCCCAAAACAGTCTTGGGCTCCTCAGTGGGACGGGAGAGCATGGGAAAGGTGATGGGAGGACCCCCATTTCGCTACCTGTAAACGTGATCGAGTAAATGAATAGTTAAAGCTTTTCAGCTCTACAGAATTGGTTATGAACATTATAAGGTTGCTTATTTAGAACCTGTAAATGTTCACTTAGCTTTGAAAAGAAGGGGAAGCTGTGTTCACTCAAAACTCTCAGTCATCTGCAAGGGAACGTTTTGAAGTTTGCATTTTAGGACATCAGCCTTCTTTGCACATAAACCATAGCTTGTGTCCCACACTGATGCCTGTATGCTGTCATTGTGTAAAACACTGGTATGTATGTTACATAGCTTGTTTATACAATCCTATACCCAAAGCCGATCCAGAGGAAGGCAAAAAAAGAACAATAAAGCATGATCCAATTTGCTCCTGCAGAGAAAAAAAAATCCTTCCTGATATTCCCTGGATCTACTCTACCTATTAGTAGCCATTTATATTGTGTACATTTAGGAAAGAATCCAGGACTTGTTTAAAACAATCTGCTGAGCTGGCCAAAACCAGAGCTTGAGGGACTCTATTTCACATTTTCATAGCTCTTACTCTGAAGAAGCCTTTTCGTAGTTGGAGATTAAATCTCTTTTCCTCCAGAAATAAAGAGTGTCCCCTTGTCCTCTGTGATGACCTTGAAAGTGAATAACTCTACACCGAGTTCACTATATGGACCACCTAAGTATTTACTAATGAGTTGTACAGGGGCAAAATGATGTCTCTCCTCTTGGATGTTGCTTACTTTGGAAACCGCAGCTTGGCATTGTATGCTAGTATTAAACTTATCTACCAGAACCCCCAGATCCTTCTCCACCATTGATCCCCCCAGTTTTACTCCCCCTAGTATGTATGATGCATGCATATTTTTAGCCCCCAAGTGCATCCCCTTACATTTATCAACATTAAAACCTCATTTCCCATATAGTTGCCCAATTAAACAGTGCATTGAGGTCAGCTTGTAAATTGAAGACATCCTGTAAGAACGTTATTCCACTGCATAGTTTGGTGTCATCTGAAAACAGTGAAATTGGATTTTTAATCCCAGACCCTATATTGTTTATAAATATATTAAAAAGTAAGGGTCCCAACACTGAACCTTGGGGTACACCACTGACAGCCCTAGACCATTCAGAGTATGAATCATTAACCACTACTCTCTGAATGCAATCTTTTAGCCAGTTTTCTGTTCATTTGCATACTGATTTTTCCAAGCTGTAGACCTTACCTTACACATTAGCCGTGTGTGGGGAACTGTGCCAAACGCTTTTGCAAAATCCAAGTATACCACGTCCACAGCCTCTCCTTTTGTGTAAGGTTTTGCTTACCTCCTCATAAAAATAAATCAGATTTCTTTGATGTCTTTCATGACTCCATGCTGTCTGTTGTTTTTAAAATATTTTTTTCAAGCAAGACCTCATCTGCATGGTCTTTTATTAACCCCTTCACACTTAAAGGTAAAACAAATCTTAATGCCTAAGCACAATTTTGCAACATTGACATGTGTTAGCAAAACCATACATATCACAACTGCTTTGTACATCCTGGTTTTTTTCAGGACAAATTGTGTTTCATTTGGTGGTAAATGGTAATGGATATCTCCTGATTTTTTTAACAAAGGAAAACTGGCCCAAAAAAGTAAAAAAAATATATTTTTTTAATTTAGCTGTGTGTTTTCTTGTTACCACCATAACCTACCACCAAAGAACAACCCAAAATAAATTCTCCGGCTCTTGATGATCGCAGCGATACCATATATTTGTATGTTATTTGTTTGTACCTGTAGTACAGCCCAGAAACAATAGTGCACATTTTTTTTTTTACCTAAAGCACAATGAAACTGACAATAACTAACACTGATACCAATTAAAAAAAAAAAAAAAAAAATCCTGACCTTGACCCACTTACCCTGGCACTGAACTAGATCAAATCTTGATCTAGGTATTTTTTCTTTTTTTTAAATATTTATCTTTTTTTTTTTTTACAAACATTTTTTTCCCCTCCTATGCCAGGAGTTAGAGAGATACAATGTATCTCTCTCCTCCATTCATAGAGAGAGAAAAAAAAAAAAACAAGGGGGCCAGGCTGTACATTGACTGATCACTGTGATAGCCAATCAGAGGCTATTACAGCGATTATGTGACACGGAATAGGGAGTCCCAATCATTAGAACAGGATCTGGGGCTCTCAGTGACACCCCGGTCTTTGTGCTGGGAGCGCGCTGTGCGGCGCACTGCCAGCACAAAGACCGGTACGCAAATATGCGGCCCCACGGAAAAAAAAAAAAAGCCCTGTTCTGTGAGGCCGCATATTTGTGTGATGTTGGCGTGAAGGAGTTAAACTCTCCAGTATCTTCTCAACTATAGAATTTAGACTAACAGGTCTGTAGTTACTTAGTAAAGACTTTGATCCCCTTTTTTAAGGGTTTTTATTGCCTTATGTAATATAATGAATAATACAAAAAAATATATATACAGGTGGCATATTCCAACACATAAATTCTTTGATCCTTTCTAACTGCTTCCCGTTCGTACAGGATAGCACAGGTGCACAAAATCACGTGTATATCTACGTGATTTTGCAGTTCCAGGTGGGGAGGGGGGGGGGGGGGGTGTACACCATAGCTGTCATCAATCACCGGGTCCTGGACCGTGTTCGCCGAGTATTACCAATGGGGGGAGAGAACTGTATGTAAACAATACAGTTCTCTCACCTGTCAGCTCCTGCACACTGCTTTGTATGGCTCTGCATAGCACAGCACATAATGTGAAACGGCACAGTTTGATGTTAACCCCTTCCTGCCCAGTGCCATTAGTACAGATCATAGTATTTATTAGCACCGATCACTGTATTGGTGTCACTGGGGATGTTAGTGACACCAAGTCAGTTCTCCCCAGTGTCAGAATGCCCACCGCAGTCCCGCTATAAGTCGCTGATCACTGCCA